CTTGGTGACTGTTAAATGGGGCCTGGTGACTGTTAAATAGCACGGCCAAACCCCTAAGACACCAGCAGTTGGGGCAAATTCCTTCTCACCCAGTTGTCACCAGAACAGGTGTCCCTGTTAGAGAAATGTCCAATACTGTAGAAAAGAAAAATTAATCTGGTGCATCTTACCCATACAGACCTCCATCCATAGAGCTAATGGGTGGTCGATATCCAGTTGCACGAGTAATTGTCCATAAACCTGATCTGCACAACCAATGTAGCTCTAAAATCTTGTCTTTATTATTAGGAAAACCACAGTGTAGAAGTTACAGTAACAGCCAGTCCCTGTTAGAGAAATGTCCCTTCTATTCCTGTTTAAGTGACAGCTGTAAGATTTTGGCTTACTTTCCGTACCAAATGATCAACAGGATAAAATAGAGGGGAAAATCTTTTAAATTAGGGACACAGATAACTATAAAAACCTGACAGGATCTAACTGTCCCCCACTCTAGCCAAACCAATAAAAAAAAAAAAAAATATATATATATATATATATATATATATATATATATATATATATATATATAATTTTTGCACTCTTAAAATTTTTTCTTGGAGTTCACCGAGTGACAAAGGAAATCTCTAGCTGTTGGGTTATACTGTGCCTACTGTGTACTGGATACTAGAAAAGAAAACACCGTGGTCCTGTCCACATCCCTGACGTGTCAGAAAAAGTAGCATCCTGTTCTCTTTGTATTGCTTTCTCTGTGTGAAATTCCAGGTGACCCTGCCATGCTCCCTGCTTTCCCATTTCAAACTGACCACACTGGACATGAAAGCACATCCATCCCAGTGTGGTCAGTTTTCTTTTCTGCATTCCACTTGGGAGCACATCGGACCTGAAATACAATGGTCAGACCTGTGCTGACAAGCCCCTGCACTGATCTTCACTAGGGAGATTGTACTGCCGATTCTCTGCCTCCTGCAGACAGCCCCTCCCTGCAGTCTCAATCCCCACCTCAACCCCTTATGCAGAATAGAGAATATTTATTACATACACATACATGCATATGCACACACGTTTTGCCTTTGCATGTCTATGTTAGGCCTTGTTTACACCAAGAGGCTTTTTTGCACGTTCCTAAAAATGTTTTTGGACAACCCATTAAAAAAAAACAAAAAAAAAAAAAAAAAAAAAAAACACAACATGATTTTTGAAACGGCATTGCATCGACACACATGGTACTGCAGTGACATGCATTTTGATGGGCGCAAATGTGCAATATGCATGGGGGGGGGGGGCCATTAAGAAGTGAGCGTTGTGTGCTTCTTCCAAAGGGCTGTGTGTTTTTTGTGTGGTGCGGCAAAACATACGATTTTGCATGCACCCACCTGGTGTGAACAAAGCCTTATACTGAATGGGTTGTTTTACAAGCTAAGGGTTCACATACGCTTTAAAACCACAAGCTTGATTAATGGTCTGTTTGAGCTAGGATAGTGGAAAGAAAAGACTGAGCACTCTTTTGGGGTCCCATCCAGGATAACAAAAAAAAAAAAAAAAAAAAAAAAAAAAAAGGTAAAAAACAGTGGCCGAAAGATAGACTCTTACAGCCCAAACCAAGTCTAGACAATGAAGGGAAATGTCCTTTTTTAGGTGAACTGGAGTTGGACAGAGGGATAGCACCTTGAAATGACCACCAATCAGACACTTCCTGGTTGAGGCTACAGAATAACTATCTTAGGCAAGAAGTCAAAGGGAATTTAATAGACAATGTCTGGACCTTCCTGGTCATACCTATCTTGTGCTCATACAACCCTTTTTCCATTAACTTGAAGATTTTATGCATGCTTATTATCTATATTTACACATCTAAGGCCTCCTCAGAGTTTGTAAGGCCTGAATGAAGGAATGTACAGTTGAATGGATTGTTTGGTTGTGAGATTCTTCATTTCATCTGATGGACAGAAAACAGGATTTAGCTTTATATTGCTTATTTTTATGGTTTTCCACCCTTCTCCCCTTTTGTACAGCAATATAGTCCATTTCTAGAAATTGTTAAATAAAAGAGTTATTTGGAGAAAGTGCTAGCAAAAAAAAAAAAAAAAAATAGGATAGCCGTTTACAGAGCAGAGATGAAGAAAAGACGCCCGGCCTCCTGGGACACGGCAAGTATTCTGGCAGTAGGTGGGGGTTACCTTGGGCTTGCCACTGTTCAATCCTATGGATGGCAGTAAAACCCAAAAAGGTTAAAGCCATCCAGTGTCCATCACATAAAAAAAAAGTTTTGTTTTCAGAGACAGTATAATACTAAAAGTGACCCGCAGTAAGCACGCCCAGGAGAAAAATGCAGTTCAGTTGCCAGGTGTGGGTTTGTGGGATCACAGCAATGCGGTCAGTGTAATACTGCAGCTACATATAGTAATTAGACTGCAAAACAACTATACAACCAATTTCATCTGCTATAGAAGGGGATTAGAGAGTTTTACAGCTACACAAAACGTGTGGAGGAATACCACAAAAAAAAAAAAAAAAAAAAAAAAAAAAAAAATGCAATCTGTATATATGTTTTCTTAAAGAGGAACTCCAATCTCCTCTGAAAAAAAAAAAAAGTCAGCAGATACAAAAACTGTAGCTGTTGACCTTTAAAAAAAAAAAAGCAGCAAACTCACCTGTCCTATGATTCAGAGATGCCAGCATCTTAAATGTGGGCACCCGGCTGTAACAGCTTGTAGCTTCACAGCCAGATGCCAACTGTGAATTCGCGAGTAGCGCTGTGCATTGTTAATGGACCAGTCACACGTCCCAGAAGACTGCAGGGAGGTTGTGAGAGAACTTCGTCTAGGCAGTCGGAGCAGAAGTGGGAGCGGGTACCTGTCAAAATCAGGTACCCGCCCCCCCCCCCCACAAGGGTGCCAATTTTGCATGGGGAGCAGGGGACCAATCCTTAAAGTGGAACTTCATCTTTTGGGTGGAGCTCCACTTTAATTATACATAGTTATTCATTCTCATGTTTAACAAACATTGTGAGAAGCTCCGTGTGAAGCTAATTTCCTGGGAATTAGCAGTGTGAGGCTTACAAATCAAAGTAAACCTCATATACAAGCAGCGTAGCTCACATCAGAGGAAATCCCAATAACCCCTTCCAGATTTCACACCCTGTTTGATGCTGCAGACATAAATGATGTGGCACGGGGACGTGCAGCCTGGCACATGTTTGGAAAACTGTTTCCCCGAGTCATCAGACTTCACAGAGAGCTGGTAATCTGCCCGACACGTACCATCCTTTACATCTACATTGGGGGGGAAAGGAGTGATGCTGAATGTACACTATTCTCCACAGAGTAAAGAAAGCATTTAGAAACATTTGCAGAAGGATAAAGTGACAAAAAATCCTAACATTACTACTTGACAAAAGCTGGCTTAAAGTGGGGCTCTAGGCAATGCAGGAAAAGAACACACTTATGTATTCCATCATTAAAGCAGACCTACATTTGTCTCAAAAAGGGAAGGCTTACATTTTATTTTGCAGTGCTGTGTCCCAAGAAGCCTAGACATTTCATCAAAAAATCTTTGTAAGGAAGGGGGCACTGTCAGCGTTCAGAATGGTTGATCCTGCAGCAAAGTTCACCTGACCAATTGCCTAGGCTTTAGGCCACATGGCCAGCACTGCCAAGGAGCCTGGAGTAACAATACCACCAAAAGCACAGTGGCTAAATGGTTAGCACTTCCACCTGGCAGTACTAGGGTCATTGGTTTGAATCCCAACCCCAGCACCACCTACCTGGAGTTTGCATGTTCTCCCTGTGACTGCGTGGGTTTCCTCCAGGTACTCCCGGTTTCCTCCCACACTCCAAAAAGGCATGCTGGTAGGTTAATTGGCTCCTATCTAAATTGACCCTAGTATGTGTATGTATGAATGTGAGTTAGGGATTTTAGATTGTACGCTCCTTAAGGGTTAGGGACTGATGTGAATGTACAATATATGTATGTAGAGCACTGCGTAATTGACGGCGCTATATAAGTACCTGAAATAAACAAGTATTTCAGCTCTTCATGAGCCCCATTAGATGCCAATATAGCTCTCATGTACTGAAATTGCTTACACTGAACTCCTCACAGTGTGCATTAGAAGCTGCAACAAGTCAGAGCCTGCCTCATTTCCTGCCCGATGGACATCTAGCATATTCTAGCTCTTTCCCCCCCCTAACCTGTCAATGGACCGCCCCTTTCATTCATTGGATTTCAGTTCTTTAAGTCATGTTTGCTCTGCATAATTGCAGCTTCCTGCTTTCATAAGTTATGTAGAGCACTCAGCACGGAGACATCACTGCATCCAGTCTTGTATATGTAATGAAATGGGGGGTGTGGAGGAAGAACCAGTCAGGGAAAAATATAAAGGAGATTCAAACAGCTGAGCATGGGTCTACTTTAAATGAAAACTATATTGAATTCTTAGTAAATATAATTTATTTACTGCTACATTTAAAAGAAATGTATAAAACAAAAAGAAAAACTTCTAATAAACTAATCTGTATTTAAATCTACAAGTTTTACATTCTTAGATGTAGAATTCCGATTTTTTTTTTTTTTTTTTTTTTTAAATTATAATATGACCTTCTCATAACAATCCATAACCTTACAACCCAATTTTAATATCCCACGTGCATGTCCTTTACTAGTAGAGCTGCAAGTGTTGTCTATTTTCAACAACCTGACATAGACAAATAGGGCTGCTAATACCTAGGTCAGTACAGAGTGCTTGTATCCCAAGGGCTACAGTGACCCAGAGTGAATAAATTGAAGGAAGAACTGTTTTCAAATATGTCTGGCACATTATAAAACACACACTATCATAAAAAGTAGTGTTTACAGCATCTACAAAACAAAAAACAAAACAAAAAGACAAAAAGACTGAATCTAACTTTTTTTTGTCAATAAATCCTATCGCTAAACTCCAGGCCCCTCCCCCCTCCTGGTTCCCAGCACATGGCCCCAATATAAAAACACACAAGACGTACCATCTGTCTGTGGGGCTTCTGCTCTGGAGTGGACTTTGACTCTCTGGCTTTGTCAATGTCCTCTGCGGTCAGCCCACTGACAGAAGTGTGGTCCTGGTGAAAGCCTCTTTTCTGTCCTGTGGCCGAAAAAGGTCCTGCAGTGTCCCTGAGATTTCCAAATAAAGTCCCATTATCTATTTTGGAGGAGGGGTCTGGTTGGAAGGAATAGAGGTCTTGGCCCTGGTTGCTGTAGACTGCATCCTCGCTGGACTGATCCTCTGCATGCTGGATTTCGTGAGTGTGGTCAGATGTAGGCGAGTACTCCATGCCGGCAATTTCTGAGGCCGGTCCCGAAAAACTGTCAGTGTCCTCCACAGCCAGGTTCTTCTGCTGCCTGCCAAATTCCTGAAAAAAAAAAAAAAAAAAAAAAAGGCTAAAATACCCAAATGTCAATATCCACAAGGTCATAACATGATAACTATGGCGAATCTGAACCTAGAGGTTAGGTTACACTGACTCCTAACAAGAGCGCGTACTTCATGCATTGACTGCATGGCTGGTAACATATCAACAGGGAATCGTGCAATTATGCTGGTCCTTCAAATTAATTTCCTATCCAGTTACTGGCTTTCAATTACACACGTCTTCCAAAAAAGAATTACATACACCTGTCCATCACCTTAAAAAAAAAAAAAAAAAAAAAAAAAATTAATACTACTAACTGCCACCTTTCAAACATGGTCTTCTACCACCTCTCCCATTCCAGCACTCTGCTCTTCATTGCTTGACACTTCCAAGAGTATCAGATGTCTGTGTACTCCACCTTGTGCTGTGGTTTGATTCTCTGTCCCTTACACCACTACATGACATATCAGTTAGCAGGAAGAGACCACAGCATGCTGCAGGCACCTGACACCTCTGTACTGCAAGTGCCACATGCTAAAGTCTGAAAGTGGATGCAGTGCTTGGGACAGAGGGAAGGCAGGAGACATGGGCCACTCTGTATTGCATAGACCTGCCAGAGAGAATTTTTTTCAGGTGACCAACATGGTAACCTTTATTTCCCTTTCACACGGGCAGTCTGTTTGTCAGCTGTTGACAGATGAAAAACGGACAGCAATGCACGGGCAAACAGATGTAAATGGAGGATTAAATAAAATGGACCCGAACAGATGCGGGTGTAAATGGATATTATTGGATAAACGGAACAAACCTACATTTGGAAAATGAAAGCGGACCTAAAACCGATATAAAAAAGGAGCTGGTACCCGACGGCGTCCTAACAACCAGTGACTCATCTCTGCTGTCAGTGGGGATTTCCTGCTGACACCAGAATTTAAACAAAAAGCGGGAGTAGATTGTGTGTGCAAAGAGATCAGTGTGGGGGGGCAGTCTGTACACACAGGCTCCCTCACTTGCCAGCTCTGAATAAAATTGCTGCCTCCTTTACTTACTTGAAAAGGAGCAGTCATTTGGCCCCGCCGCTCAAGTAGAGAAAGGGGCGTGGTCACCAGGTGACCTCACCCCTTTTTTTTCCCTTTATCAGCTGGCCTGAATGACAGCTCCTTCTAAAGTAAACAAAGGAGGCAGCAATTTCATTCAGAACTGGCAAGTGAGGGAGCCTGTGTGTACAGACTGCCCCCCCACACTGTACACGCTGCCTCCCCAAAGAACTACTTAGAAAGCATGCACACAATTCAGGTTTTATTTACTGGGACAATAATTGTTGATATGGCTGCCTAACAGGTATTCAGAAAAACTGACTGCTGTTGTGATCCAGTTCTAAAGATCACTAAAATATGAAGGACATGCTGTCCCATTAACTGCTGCCACCCCAAAGAACCTAGCTTAATACTTCAAACTGACCAAGAACATGCATCAGCCAGGGGGTACCTTTCATGAAGGCTGCAACATCTTCATACTACTACTCCATATTCGGACTACTAGACCTTTCTGCAGCCTTTGATACTTTTGACCACCTGCTCCTCCACAAAAAAAAAAAAAAAAAAAAAAACACTTCCTTGGCCTCCAAGGCTCTGCTCTTCCCTGGTTCTCCTTCAGTGTTCCCTACTACTCTGTCTCTCTTCCTCTTTCTGTAGCAGTCCCCCAAGGTTCTATTCGTTCACCCCCTTCTCATCCATCTACACCTCCTCTTTTGGTCACTTGATAAACTCCTATGGCTTGAATACCATCTGTATGCTGATGACACCCAAATCTACTCACATCTTCAAATTTTCTCTCACATTACTAATGTGTAAACTGACTGATCAGTATGGATGTCACACCACTTCTTCAAACTCAATCTCTTTTTAAAACTGACCTCATAATATCCCCAAAAAAAAAAAAAAATAAATAAATAAAACCAAGGTACTAAAAAAATGACAACCATCACCAGAACAGGTATTCTCATTGGAAGATCACCCCCCCCCCCCCACCACCACCACCACGCCTGGCTCTGTATACAACTGTGAAAGTTTAGATTTCCCATCACTTTCTGACCCTTAGAAAATGGTCTCCAGGGCAAAGAGAAAGGGTAAATCTTCCCAGTGGTGACCAGCAATAGAAACATGAAAGGGGTCTAGATCTTCCACACACACTTTTTAAAATTAGGAATGTTTTGGCTGGAGTTAAACTTTAATTAGCTGAAGCCACACACACACACACACACACACACACACACCTCTCACCTGCACTCTACCCATAGCAGCACTGAACGCTCCTCAGCAGCCACCTGCCAGCTTCTGGCCACATTGGCAACATCTTTGCCCGCTGCTGCTTGTCTCAACTGTCCGGTCTGCACCTCCAGTATGGCTTTACTGAGCTTAGCCAGGCCTCGCATTAGCATGATTGCATCTCCCGCCATGATGGATGCTTGCTACTTCCCACACCTGCAGAGGGGGAAAAAAAAAAAAAAAAAAAAAAAAAAGTTTAGGGAAAAACTCATGTGTTCTGTTTTTATCTGATTGTTTTTGGTTTTAACAGTTTATGGACATTTTATGATATTTACAGTGGATAAAAGAAGTCTACACACCCTGTTAAAATGTAAGGTCTCGGATGTAAAAACATGAGAAAGATAAATCATTGCAGAACTTTTTCCACCTTCAATGTGACCTAAAAACTGTACAACTCATTAGAAAAACAAAACGGATATCTTTGGGGGGGAGTAAACAAACTAAAATAATGTGGTTGCATAAGTGCACACCCTCTTATTACTGGGGATGGAGCTGTATTCAGAGAAATTCACGTTCAAAATCATGTTATATAGGAGTCAGTACATACCTGCCATCATTTAAAGTGCCTCTGATTAACCCCAAATAAAGTTCAGCTGTATTATTATTATTATTATTATTATTATAATACACAGGATTTATATAGCGCCAAAAGTTTGCTCAGCGCTTTCCAATATAACAGGAGACAATACAGCAACAATACAGTTCAATACAAGAGGGTTAGGAGGGCCTTGTTCCTTGGAGCTTAGTTCTAGTAGTTCTTTCCTGACATTTTCTTAGTTGCATCCTACAGCAAAAGCCATGGTCCGCAGAGCGCTTCTAGAGCATCAGAGGGATCCCATAGTTAAAAAGGTATCAGCCAGGAGAAGGGTACAAAAGAATTTCCAAGGCATTAGATATACCATGGAACACAGCGAAGACAGTCAAGTGGAGAAAATATGGCGCAACAGTGACATGTCCAAGAACTGGACGTCCCTTCAAAATTGATGAAAAGACGCAAAGAAAACTGCTCTGGAAGGCTGCCAAGAAGCCTACAGCAACATTAAAAAGGAACTGCAGGAATATCTGGAGATTACTGGCTGTGTGGTACATGTGACAACAAGCTCCCGTATTATTCATATGTGTGGGCTATGGGGTAGAGTTGCAAGACGGAAGCTTTTTCTTACTTTAAGAAAAACATCCCAGCCCGGCTAGATTTCGCAAAAACACATCTGAAGTCTCCCAAAAGCATGTGGGAAAATGTGTTAAGGTCTGATAAAAGGTTGAAATTTTGGCCATAATTCCTAAAAATATGTTTGGCGCAAAAACACTGCGCATCACCAAAAGAACACCATACCCACAGTGAAGCATGGTGGTGGCAGCATCATACTTTGGGGCTGTTTTTCTTCAGCTGGTACTAGGGCCTTAGTCAAGGTAGAGGGAATTATGAACAGTTCCAAATACCTTCTGCAATATTGGCACAAAACCTTCAGGCTTCTGCTAGAAAACTGAACATGAAGAGGAACATCATCTTTCAGCATGAAAACGACCCACAGCATACATCCAAATCAACAATGGAATGGCTTCACTAAAAGAAAATTAAAGGTTTGGAATGGCCCACCCAGAGCCCAGACCTGAATCCGATGGAAAATCTGTGGGGTGATCTGAAGAGGGCTGTGCACAGGAGATGCAGAGGAAATACTTGTAAAGTTGGAGCTGTAGTAGGGAGTAGGAGCACCATAAGCCGATGCTCCTCTGTAGTGCCGGCTCCTGTCCCATGAGGAGTGATACCAACTGCACATCGCCTTTTATCCTGGCTAGCGGTCTCTAGAGTGGTGCCAGCAGCAGGAAAGAAGAGATTTCAGGTCAGTGTGAAGCAATACACTGGGCATAATAGTACTGTGCTGTCACACTGATGCTCTGTGGTTTACCCACACCACGGGTACTTTCCTGCGGCTAGCTGCACTGAGCCATAGACTTCTATTATATACTGCAGATTTGGTGCACTTTCAGAAAGTGCTCCATGCCTGCAGGATATAATAGAAGTCTTTGGCAAAACGCAGCTAACCCAGGAAAGTCACAGACACACTGCGCTTCACCCGCAGTGCAGATAAACTGCAAGACATCAGTGTGAAAGCAGCATTATAGGGGGATCAGAATAGTAAGGGTGCATTTACATTTTCAGTTTTGGGGGCGGCAAGACCCCATAGTTAAGATTTGTATTTACCACCGCGCCCGCTATAGTTGCAGTGGCCAGGGGTGACATGTGGCAGCCACAGCAGGAGTTACATGCAAGTGCCCTGCAACGTTGTGCAGTACAACAAGGGGTTAAAGCAGGCACCATTGTGTTGCTCTCACCACCTGCTTTAACCCTTTCCCCCCCGCAGAAGCATGCAGTTGTGAGGAAGAGTAAACACATTTTTTTCCCCCTTTTTTTGCAAAAGGGTTTACAGATTATATGGTTGTATGTAAACATGGATAGTTTAATATTAATTTATTTATATACACTTGATCGTCCGACAGATACCTTTGTACGTTTGTGGGTTTTAAGTGTTTATATTTTGATGTAAAACAGGGACAGGATGGGTTTCGACTTGGAAATGGGGACGGGATGGAGCGGAGAGGTGGATGTACCAAGTTGTCCCCCTTGCTCCCAGTTTCCCTTTATAGCCACTTTTTGCAATAAAATGGACTTACAAATTATTTAATATGTCACTCATATGTATACAATTTTAATCAGGGGACCATCATGAGTTTTACTAAATGAGGGGTGGTTCCTTTTTGGGGCCATCTTGTGGTTTCATATGAGCACTATGTTAGCTGTCCAAGGCGTTCTTTCGAACTACAAAGAAATCGAATCAGTGTCCCCATGATATGTCTCTTTTGTATAATGGACTTCGGTTATGGAGATTTTTCTGTGAGTTGATGGTACTTGGGTTTTTCTTTTCAATGTTTCTTCAGTGTCATTTTGTGGTTTTCCCATCACTTTGTTCTCACCCTCTCTTCTCTTTCAATATGGCGGTGACGTCATGACCTCACGTACATCGTTACGCGTGTGTCGTGACATCATGAAGCACCGCACATGTGCAGTTTATCTGTGGTGGCCATCTTGAAGCCCTTAAGAGGACCTTTCAGCTTGTGTCTTACATGCCTCTGATGCAGCTGGGAGGGACCGGCGAAACCGGTCATACAAGTCATCGGCCACGTCTGGATCAATATTGGACTGATAAGTATGCCAATCCAATATATTTTTTTATTTTTCTTTTTTACAAAAAGGGACACTGACTATTTGAGGAAGGCCTCAATCTTTATACTGCTACTCTATCTAGGATTTCTTTTCCGCGTTGGAGCCAGCATATCCACACGATATCAGTACTGGGCAATCAAGCTGGAATATATTTGTATGGTACATTTTAGCGGTTACAAGTGTGAGGGAGGTTGATGCCCACATTAGGTATCTTTGAGTCAATTTATATCCTTAGAATATCCTATAATAGTACACTTTTCTTCCTCTGGACCACCAGTAGATAATACTTCTCCGGCTTGCATGTTTGTGGCTACATCGCATAGATTCACTACGGTCTATAAACAGGATCACAAAGTGGAACCATATTTGATTTAACTTCTAGTATAAAGCTTTCTGGGATTATTTTGACTCATCTTCTATCCATGATATACCATTGGATCTGGAAATTCAGGGATCCATTCATTATATAGGGCAGCACAGTGGCTAAATGGTTAGCATTTCTGCCTGGCAGTACTAGGGTTGTCGATTCAAATCTCAAACACGGCACCACCTGCCTGGAGTTTGCATGTTCTCCCTGTGCCTGCGTGGGTTTCTTTCGGGTACTGCGGTTTCCTCCCACACTCCATAGATATGCTGGTAGGTTCATTGGCACCTGTCTAAATGGTCCCTAGAATGTGTATGTATGAATGTGAGTTAGGGACCTTAGATTGTACACCCCTTGAGGGTTAGGGACTGATGTGAATGTAATATATATATATATATATCGCTGCGTAAATTGACGGCACTATATAAGTACCTGAAATAAATTATATATTTTGCCAGCTGTGTATAGCACTGACCGGGGATAAAGATCTGTTCAGCATGCTGTGCATTTAGTACAATCTTGTGGCCACTCTGTCTGTCGCTATCTATTCTCTGACTGTCCCTTTGATTGGTATTTAATTGAGATTGATAGATTTTCTATCAATCTAATCACTTTGATCAAAGATATCCAAATCGATCTTTAGATGTGACCCTTGACACTTTTTAATGAGTGTGTTTATATGTCCAATGTGTGTTTGCTTTTAATCAATAAAAGATAATGGTTAGTCAATGATATCTGACGTATAAAAAAAAAAAAAAAAAAAAAAAAAAAAAAAAAAAAAAACACACAACCAAACACTGTTTATAAATTCATTTTTTACCCAATTTAGAAAATCCTTCTTTTCGGCTGGGGTGTTGAGCGAAATCCATACTTTTTATGTGAGAATTTCTTGCTGGGCAAAGCATGCAATTACAATACGTCAATTAAAGGTTTAAATCAGGTGTGAGGAGGGGACACTATGCCCCGGTGATGTTTGGCTTCTCCCATGTCGTTCAGGTAGATCTCCACCTCTAAGCTTGCTTACCGCTGCCCTAGAACCAAAAATGACTTTCATGGCAGGATCACCGGGCGTAATTCAAATGAAAGATGCAGATTTAGAAATATTAAACACAACTGACATTAGCATGGGAAAGGTTTTATGACATTTTAGAGAGTTTAAGTTGTCAAAAAAATTCAGATAAGATTGACCAAACGCCATTTTTCTTTCAATGTATTTAGTTGTCAAAAATGGTTTAGGGTGTTGTGGTCCCCCGACATGTTCTGGGGTGAAAAAATGACTTTGTAATAAAAGGAATCCTCGCATCATTTATCTGCCAAACATGGACACAGAATATAAATGGAAAACTTACTTCTCACACACCATCTAAAACTGTAAGCCATTCCTAAAAGAAACATGGGGGCTGCAACTACTGATCCCCCGTCTGAAGTGCAATTTCCCTGGCTGAATTGCGAATCTGGAAAAGTCCAAATACATTCAGAAGCCCTCATCTGTAGGCTAAATAGGGTCTCTACCTTAAACATTGAATCAAAAGGGTCATCAAGGG